CTCTCTCTCTCTCTCTCTCTCTCTCTCTCGCTCTCTTCAGAAATGTGTCTGTCGCGACAACGCGACAATGCGACAATGCGACAGGGTCGAGATAGTGAGACCGCAACTAAGAAGGAGAGATGCAGAGAGAAGAGAGGAGAATCGGGGAGAGGAAAGGCAGACAGAAAAAAATGCGATGATTGTGAGGAACGGCGGAAGAAACCGTTAAGACACGATCACGAGAACATAAAATCTACTCACTCTGCGATGCTGTAATGCTATAGCCACTCACTGCACTGCACTGTCGCTTTCCTCGTGTATAAATCCAGTTGTTCGTCGTTCCCCCGAGCGTGTTGTCAAACCCGTCCGCTCGCACCGTGCTAGCCGCGGCCGTTAGAACATCTGCCTTGCTGTCGGCTCCCGCGGGGACCGACAGGGGCGTGTCGGCAGCAGGCAGCGTTGGTCGACATTCGCTAATGGTGTCAGTGAACTGAGGGAGGTGCATGACGACGAAGCGAGGATCTGTGTTAGCGACAGACGTCTTGTTACGTGAAGGTGACGACGTTTTGAAGATAATTGATTACGAGCGATTCGAACTAATGAAATATGCTTAGGCGACGTGTGTGTTCGAATTATTTAAAGGCCTCCTTTAGTGATGAAAAATAGTTACATATATCAAATTAACTATGTTATGTACAACTACTAAGAAATTTACAGGTTGAATGGTCTTCGGGTGTATGAGAAAAACACATATTCACGTTTCCGGTTACGTCATGTCTTTCCGGAAGGCCAGGTAACGCCATTATATTTCCCATCGCATTCTGTCCGTATCTGTAGCCACTAATTTTACTGCGGATGTGATTAAGCGGAAATTTATTTCTGCGAAAAAAATCACTGAAACGCGGTATCACTTACTGCCGCACGACAAGGAAAACAAAACACAAGAAATAAACTGCAGTGAGTTTATTTTTCTTACAAAGTTGTCACAGTTCTAAGAACATCCTTATATAAAAGTTCTGCATTTTCCCTTCGATATCAAACAAAATTGAGTACTTCGGCGTACGATCAACATAGCAAATGTGAATCCATGCATGCAGACGGACGCGAGCACGCACCTGCACGCAGGCACACAGGTATTTCGCGCTGCATAAGACCGTGACAATTCTACGCACCTGTCCTAAACTACGCTGACCTGTACAAATTGCCACCCGAATCATTCTCTAAGTTCTGCCCTAATTACCCTCTATAGAAAATAATGCTGGTAAATTTAACACGCCTAGCAACTATCTACCACTGTCTTACCAGAACGGTCCCGTCATACTAATACCGGCTCTACCTCAACCGTCTCTCTCTCTCTCTCTCTCTCTCTCTCTCTCTCTCTCTCTCTCTCTCTCTCTCTCTCTCTCTATCTCCCTCTCCCTCTTTCCCCCTCTCTCCTCAGATAGGTGTAGGAGGAAATGGGAGGCCGATGGACATTGTGTGTGTGCGTGTGCGCATGTGTGTGCTTCGGTTCGTGAGACATCGACTATGGGGGGGGGCAGTGCCTAAATTTGAGAAGCTGTGCAATACCAGTAGAAAATTTACATCATCATATTACCTTATTAAAATTAAAATTAACATTTACATCAGGATGGCGGTCAATTTTGGGTTGCAGTCGAAAATACACATATAAGGAACATCTGCATGATTAAACGCCCGAAATTCGACCCAAGCGACTCCTGGTGGGCTACTCTCGCACTGGCTGAAGAATTTGACGCTTTCACGCTAACATGAAATTCTAGAAACGAATCACGCATCACGCCAAGCAAAAAAAAATCACGACTAACGGCAAAAATGATTTCATGCCAACGTAAAAATAACCGGAGGACATTTCACGCCTTACTCTATACTCCATTAGCACCCCATCTACACGCACGCATGCACGCACGCGCACTCACACGCACGCACGCACACGCACACGCACACGCACACACACACGCACACGCACATACAAACACACGCACACACACACGCACACGCACACGCACACGCACACGCACACGCACACGAACACGCACACACACACACACACTTGCGTGGTCCGTGGAGAAGCTGACTGACTGACTACGGCCATGTAGACAACCGATAGATCGTTTTACTCGATAATTGAAATCGAATAAAAACTTAAACAGGCCGTCGTGAATTAACGCTGCTACAAGTTTCGCAGTGAGAGGAGAAGCGAGAGATGGGGGTGGGGGAAGGACAGAGCGCGCGCAAGCGAAAAACACACCCGCACCCACGTACGCACGCACGCAGGCATACGCACAGACACATACTGTTACAGATATTCACGTTTTCCACCATCCCCGTATCATCCTCCTCGTCGTCGAAATGACTGACGAAGATCGTTTCACCGAATGCAACCCGTCTCACATCCATAACGACGTTTAGCGACAGCGAAACGTACAGATACGAGTTCTGTCACACCACCGACACATAGACTGGCCCTCTCTTCATAGCTTGCGCTCCTATTGCGCACGCACCAGCGACCGAAAGTTAATACAGGATATGCATAACGGCCATTTTGGCCCAAAAGGGTAAAACCACCTTCGAGTGCAGTCATATATTCTGAGATGGTTATATCATTTAAGTACATAAACGCACTACAGATTACTACATTAGCAAGACAGGAGCCTCGTTATATATTTCATCAAAAGCTAGTAATACATTATTAGACAGTACACAGTGTTATTAGCTCGTGATTTCATGTATATTACGTTATACGTAAAAACGTATACGAGTGCAAACCGAACAGTAACCGTTAATTTTGTCGACGTTTGTTTACGCGTCGCATAGCAACGTGACAAATGGCAGTCTTTCTCTCGGCCAATGAAACGGCACTCCGCAAGCTGCCGGCTTCTCATGTCCTTATTGTGAATTCAGTGGGAGGGAACCAGCCTATGTCAGCACAGAGTACATACATAGCGAGAGGGGGGCTAGGTAAGGGTTGGAATGATGATGGGGGGGGGAAGTGCGGGATGGCGCGTGCTACACCATCAGCTATCGTCAAAATGTGACGAACGATCTTTCTGGGAAGACTGTGACAACACTTCTGAGCACAGCGGTGCCCCTCACCGGCATCACGTCACATCACCGAGTCAAACCACGGTCAACCCACATTTGCATGTGTCCCGAAACCAACACTAGATTATCATACGAACTATTGCAACTACGCTACACATACTTAAACACGCGCTATGTCGTTCGCCACAGACACATGTGTGATGGGCGTATACCGTCCACCACACTACTGATACTCTCTCTCACTCACTCCATCACTGCAGCTAAATGCAGTTTACCCTCGCCCATGCTACTCGAGGAACGTGCCTCGGCAGCGCAGGCGTCTACATTACGTCGCCGCTTGATACTCAAGAGTCCGATAGATGGCACGGGAGCCGACGGTAGTGCTAGTGGTGACAGCCGTCGGCGGAATAACACACGCCGCGTTACGTTTTCTACGGTCGCGTCTCTCTACTCAGAACGCAGATAGGAGACTCGACGAAACCCGGGGGCGAAAGATGCGAGGAGCGGGCCCACGGCCTGCCCACCCGCCTGGTCCCTCTACCGCGAGATAACACTCGCATCTGAGATTAGGCGAGCGAGCGTCGCGTGTGTAGAAGCTATTCGTATTCGTCGTTCAACCACGGGTCCCCCGCGTCGCCGCGCCGAGGTCGAATTACTCGTGACGAGATCCCTCGTTACGGTCGCCACGGCAACGCGCTGGGGAGAGGCGACACGGATCACCTCCCGGGTCCCCCGCGCAGCGCGGTAACCAGTGGCAACCACAACCTCAGCTTCTTCCCTCTTCAGCTACAGCTTCTCCCCTCGAACAACAACGTCGTCGCGACGCCACCTAACTCTTTACGAGAGTAGCCGGTGCCTCCGCGGCCGCCTCCGCCTCCTTCTCCTCCTCCTCCTCCGCCTCCTTCTTCAGCCGCTTTCTCTCGTCGTCGCCGCCGCTCCGCGCTCGCTTCTCGTCGTTGCTGTCAGCCTCAACGGACGCCCGCTTGCCGTTGCGTCGCGCGGCGACCGCGCGCAGCTTCGCGTGGTTGAAGGTCACGATGATCGTGGTCATGTTGTCGCAGCCGGTGCCGTCGCCCGAAGTGTCCGAAGCGATGCAAGCATCGAACAGCTGAAATAAACAAACAGCGCATGCAGCGAACGTGCCGCGTCGACCGGGGGTGGTGGTTATGCGCCGGTAATGGTGCTGCGAGCTGCGGCCGATTCTCAGAAACAAAACTAGACAGAGGACACTCATGGAGAGTGCATACCTCCGCCAGCGACATAGGCCATACGACTCACGAACACACGAATAACCCACGATATACCGATGTATGTGTTAAGAGCTGGCTCGCCGCTCGCTGCTGGCTGCTGCTGACTGCTGCTGGAGCTGGCTGTGGCTGACTGGCTGGCTGGCTTGACTCGACGCGCTAATACCAATCGCGCGAACACACTAACACACGAACACACGAACACACGAACACACGAACACACGAACACACGAACACACGAACACACGAACACACTAACACACACACACACACACACACACAAACACACTAACACACGATCACATAACCTCCTCCAACTCCGTTGGGCGAAGGTAATTAGTCTTCATGATAGTCTTAACAGGAACGGTTATGCACCAGCACAATGGTACACCTCATTTTCATTCACTACGCATGTCGCAATGTATATGATGTGGTCTACAAGTGGTATTATAATGAGGCGAACATAAAGTGAAGGCGTGGCAGCTAATGCACGCACGATTTTATACGTTACGACATGCGTAGCGAATGAAAATGAGGTGGACCATTGCCTAAAGCTGTAGTTCAGTTTAACTTACGTTTTCACAAGTTGGAGCTAATTTCCCCAGGTTGGTTTTGAATTTTTCCTTAATGAAGTCGACGACTTCTTGGCTGGTCATAGAATTCCTGCACAGAAACAAACGGCACGGTAATAAAGCCAAAACCATACACGTGAAAGATATCAGTACTACACTCAAAAAGGTTAAAGCTTCAACCAAACAGACAGATACCATAATTGAAAGGAAATGCATTAAAGTGATTACGTCACCGTAAATACTAAAAGTAAAACGTGACTCATACATAGCACATAGCAAGCAATTAATGTCAGGATAATAATATCAAATCGTCCAGGTTTTTTGGATTTTTAACTAGTTGAGAAAGTCTTATCAAGTAAGAATTTGACGATAGATTTAGTCCCGTAGGTTAGTACTTACTTTTAATGTAAAAAAATGGCAACATTTTTTACAAATATACACCATAGAAAATTCGTGACGTAAACAATTTAAGTAGTAACTGACTGAACCTAATATCAGGGGTAGAAATTAACTTTTGAACAAGGGAGTGCAATAAACTGGACTCCCTGCCTTCAAAAAGAGGGAGTCCACAGCACAATGAGGGAGTCCGTAGTCTGAAGTTCAAATAATTAAAGCTTTGCTAGAAAAAATACGTAATTCCGCGAGGCCGGTGCTCTGGATAAAACTAGTTAGTATAGCTAGAATTTTCGAAGGATCATACGGATTCGGCTGGATATGTCAATCAGGGAGTCCGCAGTAAAGTCAGGGAGTATTTTGAATCTCCGACTCGCAGTTATATTTTGGCACGCCTGGTAATATGCAAGTGAGGTCTAAAATGCCCTCAAAGTGTAAAACAGTGCACTAGCAGCAATCTACACGTAACCATACCAGCCACAACAAGAATTATCACTTCACATATAGATAGTGTCTCAATGTCTGGCAGTGGACGTGACAATTGGTCCCAGTGGCAAAGTTTGTTGTCGTAAGCGTGATCTCTGTAAACGCCTGAGAAAACGTAGTGCAACAATACAATACCTACCGAACTGTGACAGTAGTAAGATTAAAATTCATTCGATTCGATTAATTTAATGCACACTAAACAAAGCACCAATTACCTAAAATAATATGGCGTATAACTCATATATTTTGAAACTGGTGAAACATGATTGCATGGTTACACAAAGCACCGTATTATAGGTATTTGAAACTGCGCCGAGGCGCATACTCAAATTAAATCATGAAAACCGAGTACGTTTTCTGCAGTATTATAACCAGCACATTTGCAGACTAAGTGCTGCCCACCCTTACCAATCGCCCGAGAAAGGTTGAGGCCGCGCGTTCATCTAGCGTTCGGCCGTCAACTCGCGTCCACCGGCTTTCTTTATCGCTTTGCATCTGATTATAAATACGCGATATAATTCTCATATCATAAACTATTAACGAACGAGCTTACCAGCGCACAGTTTGAGGCGAAGATTCATACTTGTTATTACTTGCCTTGATGTCTGTACTCGGTAAATCACCGGCTCATGCAAACGAGTGGCATATGAGCGCTATTGCACAGCATTAACAACAACAAGGATGAACAAAACAACTTGTATTTTGCTTAACTTGTAACTTGCAAAATGTACCAGCCCGAGCGCGTGACCTGTCTGAACACTAACGACGCCGCAACTAAACAGACGTCCAGCAGTCTTACGGAGAAATCGGAGGTAGAGTAATAGCGCAGGAGGCAGTGCGTAATTCGCGAACACAGTTCCTGTTTATTCCGCGTTGGCCTACTCCCATTTCACCTACGCGTTAAATTCCATTCACCTACAGCCAAAATTCCAGTTGACTACACCATTTTCGCCAACTCCCAATTCGTCCTGCGTTTCAAATCTAACGGCCATTCCACAATTTCGTCTACGATCGGGTTTGTTCACTAAATAATCATTATAAATAATAAAATATGGTTTTTGATTGGCATAGATAAGACTAACAGAAACCATAAGAAAGCCATAGCGTACAAATAATGAGAACACAAGCCTTGACAAAAATGCGAGACACAATAATTGAGAACATACATTATGAGAGTACATGGGAAATGTACAAATGGGAGTAGGCGAAATGGAATATTGCGATTTCTGGAGTGAGTTCGAAATGGGGAGCAGGCGAAATGGGACGTAGGCAGAAATGGGTGTTAGGCCGAATGGCGAGTAGGCCAACTCGCGGAATGGCTACGTGTCCGCATGCAACACATACCTTCTCCAGCTCATCTCCGGCTCCGTTGTGATCGCAGCCGACATGTCGCGATGGCCTTACCCGCGCGGCACAGCCGCGCACGCAGCGGCTTGTCTCCAGGCGTTAGCGACGTATAGCTCGTCTCTCCGTGTATGAGGACAACGACGGCCGGACAACGCGCTGTCCATTCCGGCTGAAAAACGATAATGCGTTCTGTTCTCACACCCTCACTCAAGTCATACACCACCTAAAACATTCAGTATGGCTAACAAATGAGATTTAATTGATAACGATACCTATGTAATATCAAAAGACTAATAATACCTAGAGTGTACAACGAAAAACGGGAAGAATAGTGCTATTTCAGGACATGATTAATTCTACTTTGCCTTGCGAGGTCTAGAAATAATTTTATGGTATTGCATTAGCAGAATTCATTTGCTCTCTAAAACAAGGTACCAACGACCGCTTTGTCATACGATACTCCTAGGCTGAGATTTGGCTCCTAAACTCCACCTCCACATGCCTCACACGGGTCCTGCATCCTCAGCTATTCAGCAACCTAAACCCTCTAAGATTTTGGCTATCGTTTTCCGTCGCCCGCTTGGAGCGCTGATAATATGATGTCACATCCAATTTGGTACTTGTACTACACTATATAGTACTGAGCTGTGGTTGTCCAGAGACCTTAATTAAGAAAAGCATTTGCCCTCCACATGAACGGGCATTTAGCCGTGCTAGCGAAAGCATAATGGAGATAAGTGCGCATAGGCGATGCCCTTGAAAGTCACCTCCACCCTGCACCTCATCCGGAAAGTCACTGCACCTCGAAAATCATGTCCTAAAATTATGCGCGGAAAAACGCGAACTTCTCAAGCGAAGCAACCTTAGAGCGTTTAGGGCTTGCTGAATAAGCTGGATGCGAGGCCGTGTGCAGGCATGTGGGAGGGGAGGCTTAGGAGGCGGCAATATCTAAGCCTAGGAAGTATTCGTATTGACAAGCGGTTGGTCCTTGTTTAGAGAGCAAAGAATTCTGCTTAATGACAATACCAATAAAATTATTCTAGAAACTCGCAGGCAAAGTAGAATAATGTAGTCGTGAAAAAGACTATTTTCCCGTTTTTCTCGTTAGTACACTCTAGGTTATAATTAGCTCTTGCATGTATATTATATATATATATATTATATATAGTTGTTTTGGAATGAAAAAATCACCCGTTGCCTCGAGACCAGAGCGGTCAATCTCAGGTCAGTGTACATGCTCTGCCACCATTACAACGCTGTATTTATACAGCCATATAACGCATGAAATTATTTAATCAAATCTTATTTGCTTGCCAGATATAAGATTAAAACACCATCACACGACCACTTCAACAACAGAATGACCAACAGAAAAGTGGGCCTCCTGTCAGACTTTGAACACTGAGGACCATTGCTAAGTGAGTTGTATCATCTGATAACACGCTATCTGATTAGATAATGGAAAAATGACCTGCTAAAACATATATACCATATTTCTCTGTCTGCATGAAACACAGCCGGCTTCTTCACCGTCTCCGTCTCATCCTCACTCTTCTTCTTCTTCTGCCCTCCATCTCCTCTTTCTTCTTGCGCATCTCCTCATCAACTATGGAGAAACCACAGAAAATAACGCACAGAAAAAAACCACAGGAAATAAACACAGAAAAAACCACAGAAATTATACCACAGTAAAATAGGAACTGTGATGGCTGACTACCAAACAGAGAAGAGTACATAACCCTATTTAATTGCTTTTGACTTATAGCTGGTCACATAAATTTTTAAATACACTGACTGTTTAGTTTAGTTATAAGTACTGTGTATAGTCAGCAGTTTTCTGTAATTCCTTGAAGGACAATCAAACATGTGGAAGAACATTCAGTTTTAACTTACACTAATCTTACCTCTTCGTCGCCCGATCCAATCGTCTTTTGCCTCCTCATCGGTCATCCTCATCTCATCATCCTTTCCTCCTCTGCCTTAGCCTTCGGGCACAAATTCTTCGTCTTCGTCTTCGTCGTCTCCCCCAGCCTCAGCCACAGCTTTAAGAATCATATCCCTGATAGTCTTAGCAGCTGATCGCTGGCCTGTTTTGGAAGCACCTTCGTCGGCATCAGCAGAGCTCGCTGAAACTAAAAGACAAGTGAATGTGCACCTTATGAGTCCGCTTATACATACACTCCATGAGATTTATGGGGAAAAGACAGGAGGCATGCCAGACGAGGTTGCTATGGTGGGTTACACTGGTTAATTTAGTCGTTATGTAGGCGCACTACAAGAAGTAAGAAAGCAATCACGGCACTTGTTGTCAGTGCTAGATGGTGAAATTTTAAATCTGCTATACTACCTTCTAACATGGATGTCATAATGGTGGGCAATTTTACACTGCTCTCTGTGCAAAAGAACCAAACCGATCACAACAACACTGCAAATATAACAAAAATATAATATTACTTAATTATATTAATATTTAAAAAATATATATTATTATTTCAATAATTAAAGTGATTGCTCACCACAGGAGGGCGCCGCCTCCACGCTTGCACTTGCCGCCTCATTGCCGCTGTCTTTCGCCTCAGACTTTTGCGCGACGCTAGACGAGGGCGCCGGTGTCTCCTCCGCTTTCTCGTCGGCTTTCGCCGCGTCCTCGCAGTTGCTCTCAGCTTCCTTCGACGACGAATCTCCGGCGACCGCGCTCGGCGGCGCCGCCTCACACTCGGCGCTGGTCGAGTCAGGCTGGTCGCCGCCGGCGACGGCCGGGCAGTCTGCGAGCTTCGTCTCCGATTCACCGTCGTCCGTCTCCGGTTTTGCTTCTTCGCTCGCCTCGGCCTTAACCTCAGCGACCTCGCTGTCTCCCGCGGCTTTCACGTCGGCGACCTTTGACCTCTTGCCCTTGCCCTTGCCCTTTGACTCGCGGATGCAGCCGTCCATCTCTTCAGAGCCGTTGTGGAGCTGGGCTTCGCCCTCGTCGTTGTCGCCGGGAAACGGTTGCTTTCCTCGCAGCATCGGTGATTTCACCTGGGAGAGGCCCTGGAGATTTTTCATCTGGAACGAAAAACGGCGCGTCGTGTTAATTGCGGAAAACGAACTGTTTAAGGAAGTCGGCGGAGCAAAACGCGCAGTTGTTGAATTAGCACATAATTAGCATACTGCAGTGTCATACTTCATGTTTCATTATAATTTTTATGCAAAACTAGAACAAGTTGAGTACTAATGTCGTTTCAGCACTATCTCCAGTAAGTACAGTTTATTAATTATGTTACAGGTTAATGTGTTTTTATTGATATTAATAGCTGGCACCATTGCTGCCTGCATACGTATGTTACGTAGTAAATATAGATACAGAACATTCCCTAGATTTTACCAGATTAAGTACTAAACCAGAGATGTGTGTGCATACCAGATGTGTGTGTACCAGCACGCGTCAGCTTTCACTTATAAACAAGATTAAATGACAGCACCCTAACCCTAACTACTACCACTATCACATCATAGTAGGTGGCAAAATAGACTACAATCGCAGGAAGTGTAATTTTGAAATTCAAATTTTTTAAATTCAAATTAAAAATTAAAAATTCAATTAAAAATTCAAATTTTTAAGGTAAATTTGAAATTCCATGACTGTAAAACTGTCTGGACCATAAGAGGTTCCAGGCCGTCGACTGCTGGAAAACCGGTAGACAACCTGCAGTATCAATGCAAGTCCTACTGTCACTGATAGTTAACGCAAGGTTGTGCAACAGTACATAAGCACCAACCTTCTTTGATTGCAGCTCAGCACTTCCCCCGTAGCGAGCCAGGAGTTCCTCAAGGGGCATGGTGGCTTCTTCAAACAAAGCAGCCTTGTCTTCCTCGTCATCTGCAAAACCAGTAGCGATGCCTATTGCTGTGCTCATCACTTTAAAAACACTAATGACCCTTCCCCTGCTAATTAATGCCCATCTTCTGTACAAAGTCTACAGAATTATTTAAGCAAGCAATTTTAACTGATTTAAAAAATTGCCCGTGTGAATCTATTTGCAATTATATTTAGTTTTATTACATTTTGAACTCTGTTAGTACTCTTTGACCTCTTGTTGTACATACAAACATCAGATGAATATACTATTATCTGAACCTAATATCAGGGGTAGAAATTAACTTTTGAACAAGGGAGTTCAACGGGCTGGACTCCCTGCCCTCAAAAAGAGGGAGTCCACAGCACAATGAGGGAGTCCGTAGTCAAGAAGTTCAAAATTAAACATTTGCTGAAAAAATACGGTAATTCCGCGAGGCCGTGCTCTGGAATAAACTAGTTAGTATAGCAGAATTTTCAGGGAGTCATACGGATTCCTGGATATGTCAAATCAGGGAGTCCGACAGTAAATCAGGGAGTATTTGACTCCCGACTCGCGTTAATTTCGCACCCTGTAATATGCAAGTGAGGTCTTAAAATGCCCCTCAAAGTGTATAAACAGTGCACTACATGCCATACTACACGTACCATATGCCGTCACATGCGACAACAATGAATTCATCATCTTCACATATAGATAGTGTCCTAATGTCTGGCAGTGACGTGATCATTTGGTCCTTCAGTGCAAGTTTTTTGTTCTTTTTGTATGCGTGATCACCTGAATACCGAGAAAACGTAGTGCATTACAATACATTACCCTACCAACTGTGACAGTAGTAGATTAAATTTCATTAATAACCGATTAAATTTACTATTATGCACACTAAACATTAGCACTAACACTGCACCAATTACCACAATAATTATTGGTATACTCATATATTTTGGAACTGGTGAAAATTCATGGTTATACCTATATAGGTATTTAAAACTGCGCCGAGGCCATATCAAATTAAATCATGCAAACCGAGTACGTTTCTGCAGTATTATAAGCAGCACATTTGCAGACAAGTGCTGCCACCTACCAATGGCCCGAGAAAGGTTGAGCCCGCCGTTCACTCTACCTTCTGCCGTCACTCGTCCACCGGCTTTCTTTATCCTTGTCTAGATATAAATACGATATAATTCTCATCATTCATAAACTATTAACAACGAGTTACACACACGGACACAGTTGAGCGAAGTTCATACTTGTTTTACTTCCTGATGCTACTCCGGTAATCACGCTCATCAAACGAGTGCATATGAACTATGCACAGCATTAACAACAACAAGAAGATCATCAAAATTGTGCTTTGATTGCAATGAGGTCGCAGGCGGACCACGGCCGCGGGCCGGGGGGGCGAAAGGCCGGGACGAGAAAGGGCGGCAGGAACACGCGCGACCGCCTGCGGTCTAGGGCGTCGGGGGCGCAAAATCTGATGGCCGAAAGACAGCGGCAATGAGGCGGGCAAGTGCAAGCGTGGAGGCGGCGGCCCTCCCTGTGGTGATGCAAATCATTTAATTATCTGAATAAAAATTATTATTTTTTAATTATTAATGTAATTAAGTAATATTATATTTTTGTTATATTGGCATGTGTTCGTTGTGATCGTGTGGTTCTTTTGGCAGCGGAGAGGCATGTGTAAAATTGGGCCACCATTAGACAATCCATGTTAGAAGGTAATAAAGCAATTTAAAATTTCAGCATAGCACTGACAACAACTGAGGCCCGTGGTTGCTGTCTTACTTCTTGTAGTGCGGCCTACATTCGACTATAATTCACCAGTGTGCGCCGCCATAGCCAACCTGTGTCTGGTTGGCCTCCTGTCTTTTTCCCATAAATCGCATGGGAGCTGTATGTATAAGGAGAACTCATTAAGCTTGCACATTCACTTGTCTTTTAGTTTCAAGCAGAGCTCTGGGCTGATGCCGAAAGGTGGCTTCAAAACACCAGCGATCAGCTGGGGCTAAGACCTATCAGGGATATGATTCTTAAAAGCTGTGGCTGAGGCTGGAGTGACGACGAAGACGAAGACGAAAGAATTTGTGGCTAAGGGAAGGAGAGGAGAAGGATGAGTGAGGATGAGGATGACGATTAGGAGGCAAAAGACGATGGAGGACAGAAGAGGAAAGATTAGGGTAAAACTGGAATGTTCTTCCTAGCATGTTTCGATTTCTTCAAGAATTACATGAAACTGTGACGTAATACACAGTGCTATAACCGTAATAGGAAACAGCAGTTTATTAAAAATTTATGGACTCTAGCTATAAGTCAAAAGCATTAAATGGGTTATGTATCTCTTTCTGTTTGGTAGTCAGCATCACAGTTCCTTATTTTCTGTGGTATATTTCTGTGGTTTATTTCTGTGGTTATTTCGCTGTGGTTTATTTCTGTGGTTTATTTTCTGTGGTTTCTCATAGTGATGAGGAGATGGAAGAAGAAGAGGAAGAGGAGGCAGAGGAAGAAGAAGAGGAGGATGAGACGGAGACGGTGAAGAAGCCGGCTTGTTCATGCCAGACAGAGAACAATGGTATATATGTTTTAGCAGGTCATTTTTCCATTATCTAACAGATAGGTGTTATCAAGATGATACCACTCACTTAGAATTATTGGTTCTCAAGATGTCGAAAGTCTGACAGACCATTTTCTGTGGTCATCTGTTGGAAGTGGTGGTGATGTGTTTTAATGCTTTATCTGGAAGCAATAAAAGATTATGATTAAATAATTTCATGGCGTTATATGGGCTGTATAAAATACAAGCGTTGTAATTGGTGCACGACATGTCACGTGACATGAGATGGACCTCTGGTCTCAGGCAACGGTGCATTTTTCATTCACAAAAACATATATATATATATATATATACATATACATCAAGAGCTAATAAACGCTAGCAGTGTACAACGGAAAAACGGGAAAATAGTGCTATTTAAGCGACACATATCTAACTTTGCCTGCGAGTCTAGAATAATTTTATGGTATTGCATAAGCAGAATTCTTTGCTCTCTAAAACAAGACCAACCGCTTGTCAATACGATACTCCTAGGGGGCTTAGATATTGGCTCCTAAGCCTCCCCTCCCACATGCCTCACAACGGCCTCGCATCCAGCTTATTCAGCAACGCTAAACGCCTCTAAGGTTGCTTCGTGAGAGTTCGGTATTTTTTCCGCCGCATACATTTTAGGAATGATTTTCGGGTGGCAGGTGACTTTCGGTGCAGGTGCAGGGTGGAGGTGACTTTCAAGGGCATTCGCCTATGGCCGCTTATCTCCCATTATCTTTTCCTAGCACGGCAATGCCCGTCATGATGGAGCGCGGCAATTGCTTTTTTAATTAAGGCGCTCTACAACACAGCTCAGTTACTATATAGTGTAGTAACAGTACCACAATTTGGGCATGCTGACATCAATTATCAGCGCTCCAAGCGGCGACGGAAAACGATAGCCAAAATGCTTAGAGCGTTTAGGTTGCTGAATAAGCTGGATGCGAGGCCGTGTGAGGCATGTGGAGGGGAGGTTTAGGAGCCAATATCTGCAGCCTAGGAGTATCGTATTGACAAGCGGTTGGTCCTTGTTTTAGAGAGCAAAGAATTCTGCTTAATGCAATACCATAAAATTATTCTAGACTCGCAGGCAAAGTAGAATAATCATGTCGTGAAATAGCACTATTTTTCCGTTTTTCCGTTGTACACCTAGGTATTATTAGCTCTTGATATACATAGGTATCGTTATCAATTAAATCTCTTTGTTACGCATACTGGAAGGGTTAGGTGGTGTATGGACTGAGGAGTGTGAGAACAGGAACGCATTACGTTTTTCAGCCGGGAATGGACAGCGTTGTACCGGCCGTCGTTGGCCTCATACACGGAGACGCAGCTATACGTCGCTAACGCCGGAGACAGCCGCTGCGTGGTGTGCCGCGCGGGTAAGCGGCCATCGACATGTCGGTCGATCACAAACCCCGGAGGATGAGCTGGAGAAGGTATGTGTTGCATGCGACTACGGTAGCATCCCAGTTGGCCTACTCCCATTCTCGGCGCTACACCCATTTTGCCTACGTCCCATTTCGCCTGCCTCCCGATTTCGATGCTACTCTCAGAATCGGCAATATTCCCATTTCGCCTACTCCCATTGTACTATTTCCCATGTACTCTCATTGTATGTTCCAATTTTGTGTCTCGCATTTTTGTCAAGTTGTTTCTCATTATTTGTACGCTATGTTCTATGGTTTCTGTAGTCTATCTATGCCCAATCAAAACCATATTTTATTATTTATAATGATTATTTAGTGAACAAACCGATTCGTAGACGAAATGTGAATGGCGTGATTTTGAACGAGGACGAATTGGGAGTTGGCGAAAATGGTGTAGGTCAACTGGGAATTTTGGCTGTAGGTGAATGGGAATTTAATCGCGGTAGGTGAAATGGGAGTAGGCCAACTGGAAATAAACCGCGACTTCGTCCGCGATTACGACTGCCTCCTGCCTATTATCTCTACCTCCGATTCTCCCGTACAGACTGCTGACGTTGTTTGTTCGGGCGTCGTTAGTGTTCAGAACAGGGTCACCGCTCGTGGCTGGTACATTTTGCAAGTTACAAGTTAAAGGCAAAATAGGCAAGTTTGTTT